TTTAAGTGCCACAATCTCCTTTGTTTTTTCATCCCTTGCTTTGTAAACAATTCCATAAGTTCCTTCGTTTATCTTGTTTAGCTTCTGAAATTCATTCACAGACCTGCTTCCAAGCAGCATGTTTGAACCTCCCTGAGTTGAAGAATTTGGTTCTTCATCTTCTAACTCGTTATGATCAGAACTGCAATACTCACGATCAGAATATTCATCCGCACTAAGCTGCTCTAACCTACGATCTCCACTGCCAGATCCAGATGAATTGCACTGCTGATCTTCAGATACCACTAACTCCCGGGACTCTGGAGTCAAACTGCTCCTGTTCCATCTGCTACTCTTAGGAACAGCATCAGCATGAGATATTAACTCCTCCTTGGGGGAAGTTAAACCTGTCCCCCATCTACATGTCTTAACAGGTGCCTGCACCACCTCTTCTTCTTCCTCCAACTGACCCTCCTCCAAATCATCAACAATATCTTTCCCAGACAGCCGAGATTCTAAAGGCTGCACCGGCGTCAGATGACCAGGTTCTGGTGACATCACAACATTGACTTGATCCTTTAAAGAAGTCTTCCTAGTTACATCAACATCCAAATTGGGTACAATCGGAACAGTGAAAGGAGACTTGATCTTCTCCCTAGACGGAGCTTTAGCCACTTCATCTACATCCCACACAACAGGGGAAAATTTCCTCTTTTTCTCAGGGGGTCTCTGAACCTCCTCTTCCTCTCGTCGTTGTCCTTTCTCGGAAGCCAACCGGGATCGGTGACGCTCATCTTTCCTCCTGAGATCCTGGTCACTAGGTCTTTTGCTTTGACGCCTCTCACCATCTCTACCACTCTGTCGTAAATACACATCACGAGTACCATTCCTATAAAAGTCGTACTCTTTTTTGGCGGCAACAGAACTTCTAGAGATGTCAACTCCCCCTGCCGCCATCGTATTCTTTTCAATGAGAAATTGATCGAATTGAAATGAAAAAAGGATAAAAACACCAACCCTAGAAACAACCCAATTAACGAAACCCACTCTAGGGAGAATCCTAGATTGAATCAAATCACGAAAATTTATTTTTCGATGGCTGTTCAATTATTTTTCAACAATCGAACCAGAGAGACGATCAATCAAACCAATTTAACAAAACAACTCTCGAAGAATCGAAATCGAAATCAGAATCAGAAGAAATCAAGACCGATGGAAGAGAAAGAAAAAAAGCGAAACCCTAGAAACTCAATTTTCCAGGGCGAGATAAGTTTTTCCCTTCCTCTTCTCCGATTCACACAAATACCGGAAGGTCTTACCGGACGGCGGCGAATTAGAGAACGGAGGACGAGATTGAAGGAGATGGATCTACGAGCCGATGCGATCTCGTGAAGCTTTTTTTTCTCTCTAATTTCCTCTCGGAGACACAAAAGACGCGTTTTCGGTGGTCTCCGTTTTTACTCTTTTTTATATACGCACCAAGTCAAGGTCGGCTACTCCAATAATTTCTTTCTATAACTAGAGTTTGGACTCGTGCGCGAGTTTGGTTTCGTTTTTGATATTTTTGTTCTATTTTTCTATGTTTTATACCTATATCATGTATAGTATGTATTGGTAAATATTTGTGGTAGTATATACGTATCTTTTATATTGATTAACACATTCTAATATCATATGTTCAATTATCAATTTGGATGTGAAAATTTGTTTAAAATAAAAATTCTTTCAGTTTGACATTGATTTTAAAGAAA